AACTCAGAGTTCATCTGGAACAGGTCAGACGAATCGAACAAATCAAAATCAAAATTCCCAAAATCCTGGATTATACAATGAGTTCAAAAATTCCTTGAATCAAGGTAGGGCTCAGAATCCATTCAATCAGCAAATATTTCAAAACCAAGCTAGTGGGAGTGGACCCAACCAACCTACTAAAAGAGGGAGGGAGAGCCAGAGTGGCCAAACGAAGATGGACGTAAATTTTCATCAAGCCGCCTCGGAAGAAACCGAGGAGGACCCTATATAAACATTACCATTAATAAAAGAATATTAAGGTGTATCGCTGACTCGGGATCATCGATCAACATCATGAAAGAAAATTACACAGATTCCGAGATAAAAGACGATAACCTTACGGTCCATACCATCAATGGACCTGTCCGTTTAACTAAGAGTATAATGAGGAATGCGAACAAAACATGTCCGTCCGAACAAAAGTTCTACATACATAACTTTTCCGAAAATTATGATATTTTATTAGGAAGAGAATACTTGATGGCAAGTAAAGCCGTCATCGATTACAGAAATGACACTGTAACACTAGGAGCTAGGTCGTACCCAATCATTCAGAGTGGAGAAGCTATTGAAGCCGGCGAGACCGCACAGAAGTGCACTGATCCCTCTACAAAAGAAGAGAAGATCGCACCTAAGTGCCTTGACCCATCTCCAGAGGGAGATCAATACTTCGCTTCCGCTCTAGACAGTGAATTAAGGGAATGTAATCAATTAAGATTGGAACACTTAAACGACGAAGAGAGGGAAGAGTTAAAGAAGGTCTTATATGAGTTTAAGGATGTGCAGTACAGAGAAGGTGACAATTTGACTTTCACAAGTACAATCAAGCACGAGATCAAAACTCAACATGAAGACCCGGTCTACAGACGACCATACAAATATGCCCAGATACATGATCAGGAGGTAAACCAGCAAATCAAAGATATGATCAGGCAGGGAATAATTCGAAAGTCGAATTCTCCTTACTGCTCGCCCATATCTATGATTCCGAAGAAGATAGATGCTTCAGGAAAGCAAAAATATCGAATGGTAGTAGACTATAGAAGTCTAAATGAAATAACAGTTAAGGACAAATTCCCAACTCCAAGAATGGATGAAATCCTAGACAAACTAGGTAAATGTCAGTATTTTACGACAATCGATTTAGCAAAAGGTTTCCATCAAATACCCATGGAACCTAGCTCAATCCCCAAAACTGCGTTCTCCACTAAGCATGGACATTACGAGTTCACTCGTATGCCCTTTGGGCTAACCACTGCCCCAGCTACCTTCCAAAGATGTATGAACAATCTGCTAGAAGAGTTAATCTTCAAAGATTGCTTTGTATACTTAGATGACATCATTATATTTTCCACTTCATTGGAAGAACACTTGTTGTCACTAAGGAGAGTATTTGGAAAGTTGAGAGACGCCAACTTGAAGCTACAAATGGATAAATGTGAATTCATGAAAAAGGAAACTGAATTCCTAGGTCATGTAGTCACTACTGAAGGAATAGTACCAAATCCAGGCAAAATCTCTGCCATTGTCAAATTTCCAATACCAGAAACGACTAAACAAATAAAGTCATTCTTAGGTCTGTGCGGGTTCTACAGGAAATTCATTCCTAATTTTGCAAACATAGCAAAACCCATGACACTCAAACTAAAGAAAGGAGCTGTCATAGACCCCAAGGAAGAAAAGTACGTCGAGGCATTTGAGAGACTAAAAGTACTCATCACCTCAGACCCTATCCTTGCGTTCCCAGACTTTGACAAAATGTTCACGGTAACAACCGACGCTAGTAACATAGCATTGGGAGCGGTTTTGTCACAAGAACACAAACCGATCTGCTACGCTAGCAGAACCCTAAATGAACATGAAATAAACTATTCAGCCATCGAAAAGGAATTATTAGCGATCGTATGGGCAACCAAGTATTTCCGTTCATACCTGTTCGGTAGAACATTCGAGATACAAAGCGATCATAAACCCTTGATTTGGTTGAACAACCTCAAGGAGCCAAATATGAAATTACAAAGGTGGAAAATAAAACTGAATGAGTTTGATTTTAAAATGAAATATCTACCAGGCAAAGAAAATCATGTAGCTGATGCCTTATCAAGGGTAAGGATTAATGAAAATCTCCTGGGAGAAGCTTCCAATAGCGTTGGTGCAACTGTACATAGCGCACAGGAAGACAATCTAAATCACATTGCTATCACGGAAAGACCAATTAACTATTACAATCGGCAAATTGAGCTAATAAAAGGCAATGAAGATAAGGTAGAAACAATTCGTTATTTTCACAAGCTAATCATCAAGATCACGTATAAGGAAATGACTAACACCTTAGCGAAGGATATAATAAAGGAATATCTATGCACCAAAAAGAGCGCATTATATTTCCATAACGAAACAGATTTTCCTCCATTCCAAAAAGCCTATTTAGAAATCATTAATTCTAACAATATAACCAAAGCTATTAAATCAAGCACGAAACTCCTAGATATTCAGAATTACGCTGAATTTAAAGAAACCATATTAAAGAATCATAAAGGCTTACTCCATCCAGGGATAGAGAAAACCGTCAATTGGTTTAGGGGAAAATACTATTACCCGGATTATCAAAAACTAATCCAAAACATCATAAACGAATGTCCTACTTGTAATATTGCCAAAACAGAGCATAGAAATACGAAGTTGGCATTCGAAACTACACCGGAAATACTGAACATCAGAGAGAAATACGTCATGGATTTCTATATGGTTGGTAACCAACAGTTCCTATCATGTATTGACGTATACTCGAAGTTTGCAACTCTTGTAGAAGTAAAAAGTCGTGACTGGTTAGAAGCAAAAAGAGCCATCATGAAAGTTTTTAACGAGATGGGCAAACCAATTGAAATCAAAGCCGATAAAGATTCAGCTTTTATGTGCACAGCATTGCAAGCATGGCTGAATGCGGAAAACGTCAAAATAGAGATCACTTCCAGCAAAAATGGAATATCTGACGTAGAAAGATTTCATAAAACAGTAAATGAAAAATTAAGAATAATATCTAGCGAGGATAACACAGAAGATAGATTCACGAAGTTTGAATTAATTCTTTATACTTATAATCATAAAACCAAACATAATACCACAAATAGGACACCAGCTGATATATTCATTTATGCAGGCTCACCTGATTATGACACACAACTAAATAAAGTGAATAAAATCACTCAATTAAATAAAAACCGCATAGAGTATGAAGTAGATACCCGCTATAAACTATCACCTCTAGTTAAGTCTAAGGTAACAAATCCTTTCAAAAGGACGGGTGAAATTAGACAGGTAGACGAAAAACATTATGAAGAAAAGAATAGGGGTAGGAAAATAACTCATTATAAATCAAAATTCAAGAAAAAGAAGAAATCTAATAGAAGCAAATATAATAATTCCAGAGAAACCGAGGAAGTTAATGGAATCAGCAAATAGAAATTTTGATATTCAATCTACAACATTTCACAGAATATATCGAAGATATAGAACTAGGTATGCAATTAACTAGGCTCGGTATATTTAATCCAAAATTATTAAAACAAGACTACCTGGAACAAATAAATTCTGAGAAAATACTAAATATAAAAACCTCCACATGGCTAAAATCCGATACCAACGAAATTCTAATAATTTCCAACATTCCCAAAGACATTACAAAAGTACCAATCTATAAAATCGTTCCGTATCCAGACGAATTAAATAACATGTTAACAGATATGACATACGACAAGTACTACATAAAAAATGAAGAAGTATTTGTTAAAGAAACTAGATTGAAAACCAATGACAATTGTATAAAAGGAATTTTAATGCAAACTCCCACTAAATGTCCATATTCCAAAACATTTCAAAACTTTCAAATAAACTTTATTGAACCCAATATACTAATCACGTGGAATCTTCCAAAAACAACGCTAAATCAGAATTGTGTAAACCAAGAAATCATAGCGGAAGGAAATACCATTATAAAAATCTACAACTGTTCAATCCAATTAAATGAATTTACAATATCAAACACAATGTTAGATTTTGCCCAGAATGTTTATGTCAACAACAACATAACTAAAATAAAACCACTGTCGTATGTCCAAACTAATGAAATAATTATGCAATACACCACATATAGTAACCTATTACAAATAAGTCTACTAATTTCATTTGTCATAATTATATTAGTACTACTAAGTTATGTAGCTGTTAAATTTAAGAAAACTTCTAAAAGACTCACGGTTAAATGTATAAACCCTATAATAGAAGCAGAAGAGGAACCAACCTCAGCCACCGCACTTGACACCCCGTCACTATACCCGAGGGTAATCGCCTAGGGACAGGCTAATAACAAACGTTGGGGGAGTGACATATCCATAATTCCCCACATCCCATACACATTATGTTTATGTACAATTCATCCACCCCATCCACACAAGTAACAGGACCCCACTCAAGAATCAATAACTGTTTCTTCCCATACTCCAAGCTAGGGCCCCCCATAATATAAACAATGGACCACATTGTTTCAGCAACATTAGAATCACGCCACTCTCGAGAAATCGATTCTTTAGAATCACGCCACTCATGAGGACCAATCAAAGCTAGACATAAAACCAAGGAGTATCACATTCCTAGCTCCGTCATGTAATGCAACACCGATCGCCAGCAGTGGATGCCTTTCATCAAAGCCGACGCATCCCCAAATATCGATCCAGGCACGTACGCCACCGACACGAAGATGCAGCCGAGGAAAGCAACGCCCGAAGCCAGAGTCGGGAGTTCCAAGAGAAGGGCTCATGGAAACTAGCCAGCAGCAGAGAGATCAGTTCCGTTTGAGACAAGCAGACCGAAAGTCAAGTCGGGGAATTCATTTAAATCTTGTGACATAAAGATATTTAAGTTTGTAAAATAAAAGTATTTTTTTTAAAACTTAAAATCGAGTTGCGGATATTAAACTATATATATATGTCACATTAACTAGCACATGGTCGATGGTTAATTAGCTTGAAAATAAATAAAGAATTATTATTTATCCTTACTAATTGTAAAAATTCAAATAAATACAAATTTTTTACCTGTTCCTTATTTTCAGCGTTCTTGCATGATACGTCGATGTCAATAGCACCGTAAGTTGAAAGAGGCACTTCTAACTGTGCTTGTTCCTTTCGACTGTCATTATTTTCTGAGCCCGATAGTGCCCAAAGTGGAATTTCGGTAAAGCTGGTAATTGTTAATGTAACACAAGCCACAAATATAAACGTTATAATTGAGAAAACAGCCTTGACATGTCCTCCCAATCGACGACCTGCATCAGTCACATAAGTATTAAATATTCTTCGCTTCAGTAATTAGCTTACCAATTTCTGTGTCATCCCAGTTAAGGCCTCCCATTGAATAGCCAAAAAATCCTCCCAGTCCTGCCATTATAGTGAAAGTAGAGAGACCCTTGGCATGATCTTCGGGAACACATACATCCAGAAGATACGCTCTTGAAGGACTTTGACAAGCATCTGCGTCAAAGTCAAGAAGAACAGTCCCCAAAACAGTAAAAAAAATTCCCCAAGGATGGGAATTCTTTGAAGAGCTATGCATATTGTGAGTGGTATTTTGCGTCATGTTGCTTACTGAAAATACATTAGGCGGGTACTGATGTTCGTCGCCAAACCAATAACCCAAACTTTCACCATTTGGTACCAAAAGAAGTCCTTTGAATAAAAAAAATGTTTATTAGATAAATTATAGGTAAACAAATTTTCTGATATGCATATATATAAATTTTATAACGAATGGGCAAATCCAGTAGGATAAGTATTGGGATATCATCCCGTATGGAATAGGAAAAGTAAGTCAGAGCTAAAACTCGAACTGAGCTTGGGTGTAGAGATATAAATATTATTTATTTTTTTATTGATGAAGCTATCAATCATCAAATTCCTTTCTTCTTCTCAAAATTAATATTACTGACTCAACTTTCCGTAATTAGTAAAAATATTTGTAAGTTGAATTCATGCTTATTAAGTTTAGTTCTAATTGTAGCTAACCCTGCAGACGTTGTTTTGCAATGCAACAAAAAATGCTCTTAATTAAATTTGGCTAGTGGAATAAAATATGCAGATTTTTTCATTGTATCATGTTCATTTTTGTATTTTAACTGTAACCTTAATAGTATTTTTTTTTACTTTTTCAGGCACCTGATACACAACATTTTTTTTATTATCATGCACAAAAACAAACAATGCACCGTGAACATGCGATATAGATATGTAAAAGACAGTAGTTAACACTATCCCACCTGGCATTAGATTCTGAGGTTGTGGTAGGTAATCGGTATGGAAGCCGAACCGGCTCCGAAAAGCAGAATTCGCTTTTAGACTTAGGTAATAAATAATTCAAAGAACATATACAAAATATTTCTAGGGAAAATTTTGGTGATATATTTTTGTAAAGTCCACACAAAGTTTAAAAACGGCCCAAAAGCTAGGTACTAATGAATCCATATGCTCAGGTACCCTCAATATTAGAATAATTTTAGGCATTTTTATTGGTAGGTGAATAGAATTTACATACGAATAGCAAGGTTCAGAAGGAACAATAAATAAAATAAATGCAAATAAAACTACACTATGCTACAACATTTTAGTGAATAGGCAGGTGAATTTTTTCAACGATTTGCAAAGGAGAAAAACTCGGCACCACACCAAGGTCGGCTCACGAAGAGTACTCCCGTCAAGCGTGGGACTTTTTTGGGTGCAGAACTTTGGAAGAAATGGGTGGGCTGCCGATCGTGGTTAGGGCACTATGGGCAAAACGGAAACCGAACCACGATGGCTAAGAAAAACGAAGTTTTCCCTACAGGCCACTTGAACATACCGTTTTTCTGATTTTTCCACGGAGACACGAGTGTTGTGATCTTCTGGCAGAGATGTGGGACGCACGGTTGGTGGCGAGGCGTGGCAGATATGCACATTAAGCCAGGGTAGTTGTCTCGCCAGTTTTCTTAATCACCTTTTTTTTTTTGGAATAGATCGGCGCCGATACAGAGGATAACCGTCGTTTCCGCCGTTAATTTTCGTGGATATCATTTAACACTTACTGTCGACCATGCAAGATGATTGCAGTTGATGGCGCCACACGGTCCATGAATCATATTTTTAACTACGACATCATGTAGGTCTGGATCGGCGTCGTGATCGGGAATTTCGGCAATTAGTTGGTCTGGTTGAATTCTTTCCACTAACCAAATAAGAATGTGTGCAGGCCTCGTTTTTTCCATACGATTGAATATGCATCCAGCATCGAAAATCTCCAAAGACGCGTTCTTTGTAGTTCATGTAGTTCATCAGGGACCTATTTTTATACACGATACTCAAAATGAGTATAAGGGTATATTTGATTTGTGGTGAAAGTGGATGCATGTAACGTCCAGAAGGAATCGTTTCTGACTCCATAAAGTATATATATTCATGAGCCCTGTCTGTCTGTCCGTCTGTCCGTGCCTATGACCGCCTAGTGCTCAGAGACTAAAAGAGCTAGAGCAACGACATTCTGTGATATGTCACTGTTACAAGTGTATTGTAACAAGTGTGAACCAAGAAAGCTTAAATTTGGAGCGTCTGCTCCGCAGTGTTACTTTATTCAGAATGAATCTTAGATGCTATCTATCTTATCTATGTCTTATATTTATGTGTAAGTATATTGGTATATACATATTTGTATGAATGTCCATGCAGAATGCATATACATTGGAATGCTCATTTGACCACTTGGAATATATTGCCGACACTGCAGTTCTCACGCTGCAGGCCAGTCGACATTAGAATATTCTATGTAATAAGCCTCAGATTAAAACTGAAAAGAGGATAGCGATCACTCTCAAATAAACCTCAAAGCTAACAAGACGTCTTCTTTTTAAAACATAATATAACATGGCGACCGTGACAAGTGTCACGAACATGTTAAATATAAATAGAACATGTAAATAAATACAGTTTGGAGTGAAAATAAAAAGATTCAAAGACAACAGCAGCAACAATAACGACAACGATAGCAGCAGCAGCAGCAAAGCGACAATATAGGCAGCAACGAAGCCGAAAGTTGGAAAGCGTGGAAATACGTACTGACGACACAGAAGAAACAAATAGTAACTAAACCGGAACCAAGATGCCCAGCGGACTGACCTGGACTGCAAGAAGACCAGCAACTGCGCCCCAACCGCTTGTTAGAAGACCTGTGAGAAGACCAGCACCGGCGCCCCAACCGCCTGTGAGCAAACCAATACCGGCGCCCCAACAGCCAACAGCCGTTGAACGTGCCAAGTTAGACCAACGGGATCTTCAGGGACCTTCAGGTGGCTATAGCTCTTATAGGTTCTGGGATCCTTGAACTCACTTTTTTCAATTGGCAAAACCGACCATGAAACCTGTGTGTTAGAGAGAGACAGAGCGAGAAAGAATTAAATTGTTTTCTTGATTCTGGCTATAATAATTATACGATCTGATTCAGATTTTACAGTCTAGAACATATAGTCATCTTCTACGATTCTGCGTTTTCAGTTTCAGTTGAAATTGTGGATGCCACAGATTTTCGCCCTTTGTGGTGGCGGAAGTGTTCGGCGCAAAGTTTTGAAATATTCTTGTAACAGTGACATATCACAGAAGTCTATAAAGTCTATAAAAAGTCGTTGCTCTAGCTCTTATAGTCCTTAAGCACTAGGCGTTGATAAGGACGGACAGACAGACAGGACTCAATCTATTCGGCTATTGATGCTGATTAAGATATATACACTTTATGGGGTCGGAAACGATTCCTTCTGGACGTTACACACATCCATTTTCACCACAAATCTAATATACCCCAATACTCATTTTGAGTATCGGCTATAAAAAAAGAACCAATGAAATGTAACAGAACCTTTTGTAATACTGAGCGATAATAGCGTTGCTCTTAATAGAGTATGGCCTGTGAAGCCATTGATCGAATAGGAATAAACTAATATAAAATGAAAAGAAAAAAATTGTAAGTAATTTTTTGTTTGTTTTTTAAATAAATACATTTAATACAATATATATATATTCTTAAAAGTTAAATTCGTTCAAATTCTATCCCAAAAGAGGATAATATATCAGAAGTCGGAAAGATGTTGGACCACGGGTCTAAAGTAGCAATGTCGAAACTGCCTCAGTCGACTTAAAAGTAATAACAGTTATGCTTATAATAATTGTTGTTCTGTTACTAGCAAATACACTAACTAAGCTATATAAGTTGCACAATAAGTGCATAAAGAAAAAAATAGCAGTTCATTTAGATATGGTTTAAAATGATAAGCAAAATAAATGAAATTTATAATAACATACCAAATTTTAGAGTAAACTTATTGCGAGTATTGCAAAAACATCGCGAATTCATCAAAATAGTTGAATTCGAGAATGAATATATAGAAACTTTCCAAAAAACTTTGTGGGGGCGGAAGTGGTCCTGGCAAAGTTTTGAAATATTCTTGTAGCAGTGACATATCACAGAAGTCTGGATCCAAAACATCGTTGCTCTAGCTCTTATAGTCTTTGAGCACTAGGCGCTGAAGGAGACGGACAGACGGACAGGCAGACATGGCTCAATCGACTCGGCTATTGATGCTGATCAAGAATATATATACTTTATGGGGCGGGATTCCTATCCCTCTAAATAGTTCAAGTTTTATCCATGCCCACATTATTGATTATGATGGTTTATTAAATAATTTAAAGTCGTGTACATTTAATTTTCTACTGGTCTTGATATGGTTTCCAGTGCCGTTCTTAAACTTTGTGCTGGTAAATTTCCCACCGTCTGGCAAGAATCTTACATAACTTCCATCCATAAAAAGGGGTCTAGGTCAGATGTTTCAAACTATTTCTGCCATTCCTCAACTCTTCGAAAAAATTATTTCATTCCCAACACTTTTGTAGTTCCCTGTTTTCGGAATCCCAGAACGGATCTGTAAAACTTCACTCCGTTTTGTCTAACCTTTACCTAGATTCCACCACAGTTTTCCAATATATCAAGATATTTGATGTGTATTATATGCTCATAAGAATAAACAATGTTACGGGGAGTCGCTTCAAGAGTTAGTGACAGACATAATGCGACATTTACGCTTGGCTTACAATGATGCTCCAACCGACTTTCTGGAGAGACGCAAAATCAATGGTTTTATAGACGGTATCAGAAAAAAGTCTGAGGAAGGGCCTATGAGACTTCACTATTGCTATGCCACTCCTCACCAAAAGTGCATTTTGTACAAGCTGAGGTGAATTATGGTAACCGACCGATTACAACCCAATTACAAGGAGTATTCAATGGACTGCTTCATTGGCAACTAAACGGTTCATATGGCGAGACAATGTCGCAGGAATTAGGGCAAATCAAAAAATTTGGGACCAGAGACCCCCGAGGCAGAATTCTCAAACTAGAACGACTTAGTACAGAGGGGCAAGGGCTGACTCATACTAGGAACTGTCTCATTTCCCAGCTGGAGCGAAACTCGAAAAACCTCACGGATGGAACCGAGCTGTTAATAACTTTGTTAGAGAGGTATAGTTATAGGAAATGTGGAGCTAAGAGGCTTTCAGAGCAGCTTAAATCCGAGCTGCTGGCAGAACGATCCTCGTCGAGCAACCTGGAGAACCTGCTGGAGGCCATACAGGCCATACAGGCCAATGTCACTATATCCGAAACTAATGCAGAGCAGTCCACGGTGCTGGAGGTGCTTAAGGCGGAAAAGAGCAAAACGAATCACTGTTTTGAGCTGTTATTATACTAGAAATATTTAGTCTTGGCTCGGGGTTTTTTGGAACAACACGTAAAATAACCAAGAAATAATGTCTATCTGTATAGTAAAAATACGATCGAATGGATTTTAACCTATAAATACTGCATGCACCATAAAATATGTACTTATTATTATTACCAAAAACTACTCCGATGGATAGCAGTAATATAAATGGCCGCCGTCGTCCCATATTTAACTTGCATCGGTCAGATAATGATCCCAATATTGGGCATAAAAAGAATCCGACTAGAGGAGATAATGCCCAAACCAATGTCATATGCTGATGCTCAACTCCGATTTTAAGTAGAGTCGGAGACACAAATGCTGTTTCTGCCGCGTACGAAAACTCAATGCCCATTACTGCAGCAGATACACGTATCAATTCAGAACGCGATTTACATCTGTAAAAAAAAGAATTCATGGTATATTAGTTGTAGTACATATACAAAGATACTCGTAACAAAAATCGGATTATAAAAATAATTTTGATCATATATAGGCCATTAGTTGGAAAGAGGATAAATTTGAAATGTGCTGCTTGAGAATAACATCGCAGGGGAGGGAGAGTGTACTCTCTTATATTACAGCTCAAAATCTTTTAAAGGTTTGTTATATACTACCAAAGCTTTGTAGAAAATGTTAAGAAAATTACAAAACACACTTAAATAATTAAATAAGTTTTAAAACATGGTGAGACTGATAAATTTCGAATAACATTTTTGCAATCGGCAGAAACAAAAATTATTTTTTCCCACTTTCAAATATGGAAAATGCTTAAAGGATTCCAGTTACGTCAGCATCAGAAAAGCGTTCACTTAGCAAACTAAAGTTAATTAAGAACCACTTAAATATACTCTTAACAGACTCAGTTTGTTGTCGAACGAGTACGAGAACATAATCGCTTAATATGGAAAAAATATATGATTTAATTTTCGTACCATTTAATCATTATAAATTATTCATTTTGAAATTGGATTTTTCATTTTTCTTTTGTTTTACGTTTGGGGACTTACACAAGGGTGTACAATTTTCTCGACTCGGCTCTGACTGTAGACTTCAGTTATTCACGCCAAAATGAAATTCATTTATAGATATATATGCTTTATTCTAATATACAGTGCCGCTGAACTGAATAGCTTAAACAATTCAACTATTCATTGTTAATATAGAAAGAAAGTTTGTGGTTTCCAGGATACGTTTTTCAAAAACATTACAAAAAATGCCTATTTATTCTAGCTCAACTGAATAGGTTCAGGAATTTAAAAATTCAAAAAGCACATCTTTGGATGTTTTTAACGTACAAAAATAGCCACGAAGTATAAGTTAGTATTTGGTAGTCCCACCTTGGTTTGATATTACTTCATATATTCGATCTGTTAAGGACTTATAAATCGGTAAGTTGGTTAGAAAGATAAAGCGTTTTGACTTTCGAAATTGTTAGACCTATTCAGTTGAGCGGCACTGTATATGTACAATTCTCTTGTCTCTGTGTTTGTGGTTCGTAATGTAATAATAATCATTTATACAAATGAAGAGTTAACACAAAAGGTATAATAGACATAAAAAACTTTAATTATGTACTTTAATTTAATTACCTGAATATGTGTGAGTAATCCTTATTAGCACTTGTGTTTCCTTTGAGCTGACCCAAAATAGTTTGTTTAGCCCTTTGTACTATATTAGTCGATTCTTCATCATCAAAGCCATGGTATAATTCTTTAATATTGTCCCTTAATTGATGAAAGCGTCCTGTGATGCCTTGATACTGGTGCAATTTTTCCATGTTGTTGAGAAGTTTATTTTACTACAATAATTTGACTTCTGGCCCACAATCTTTTATGGTTTCACAAATTTGTTAACAAAAATAATACACGCCAATGAAGCCAACACAGTTTCCAGCTCAACTGAAAGTGCACTTGGTTGCAAACAATTTAAAGGCACTGAGGCATTTTCGTATGCGAATATGACCTTTCCAACGCATTTTAGCGAGCATGCGTTAACGTTGTCAAATTTCTAGCTGTTCCAGTATACTTACTAACCGTATATACATAAAAAAGAATAATACATATACGTATATACAAACATATTTATATATGAGAAACAACTACAACAGAAACAACAGTTTTGGAAAAAAGCGTTCCAAACTTTTTGTACGCCTGTGTTTGTATCGTCAAAGAAAGCAGAAAAGAAAGGTTTGTTTAGAGGGTCGAAGCTTTAGATACCCTTCTTATGTTCACTCCCTTAGGTAAGGTATTACCATTTGACCAGAGGATTCAATCCTACATACGGAAAAATCTCGACTCCATAAACTACCATAAATATATATGTATGTACTCGTATGTATATATATGCTGTCGACATGGGTCTCTGCATGATGTAACAGATATTAGGCCGCAGGCAGACTGCATCCAAATTTGGAGCAGAAAACTTTTCTAAAAACTCAAAAATAACAAAACAAACCCCTCCACCGGTTCATTTTTGCGCTTTTCTAGTGAAGCTCAGCAACTTGTTTATCCACACGATTCCGACAAAGGGTTTGAAAATTCACAAAACAAAAATATAGGTATGGAAAATTTAGTTTGTTTATTTTAATATTCCTAGTGCTACAACATTGAAATTTATTATTAACTTATTATTACAAAATTGAGCACTTTTTATATCTTACTTTAAATATATTGGCTAGAAGTTGTTTGGAACAATACACAAATCATAAGAAAATAAAGTCTCTCTGTTAAAGTAGAAACTACTCTCTGTCTCAGTTCTCAATCCGGAGTAAGAATTGTAAAAACGTAACAATATATTAGAATTGTGCTTCAAAATGAAGTAGAGGTGTAGTGAAGTGACTCCCTTATTTTATAATCAAAATCTTTAAGTTTTCCCTAACATATTATCCTATTCTGAAGCCGACCAATGATGACCATGTGGGAGTTGCCTTTATAGGCTATTCACAATGACGACCATCCATCATCCATTTCGGGGAAGGCCCGTAAGGTTTTGCCGTTCCGAAAATTTCCCAGTTAGTCCACCATCCATTTTGGATGTTCCTAAACCACACGTTTCTATGCGATAGTTACCCGATGGTTTTCAAAAACTCTGAATAATTTTCATTCACAACGAAAAAATGGTATTCACTGCGAAAACGTAAACAATGATTGTGACAAAATTAACAAAAAACAACAACAATCATGCCCAATGGCTCGGATGCATTCAAGGCTGTCGATGAGATTGAATGCGGCATAGCCGAGTCTGCCAGGCTGAAGTTGCAAGTGTGTGGCGAATAAATGGCAGATGACTGACAACATAGCACAAATATTTCTATGCTCTTTAAATGCTTTATGTTATGCATAATTTATACTTTAATAATGAGTTTTTTCGGACATTATCGAGTTGGATCTGGACTGATCATCTCGGAGATGTCCACGCTATGTCCCAAAAATATCGCAAACTTTATAAGAGCATCTGGATGGATGTCAACTGTTGACATGAAATCTCACTGCAGGGAGGGAATGATCCCAAGCGCGGTATCACAACAGGCCGAAACCAGCCTAAGTGTGCCGGGCTCCGAGCGAGACTGGCAGCCGCCTCTACCTAACCTAACCTAACCTACACTATAAAATCCTTAACAATTGACGTCTTTTTATATCCGATAGGCAAATGAGTATAGGGGTATATTAGATTTGTGGAGAAAGTGGATGTGTGTTACGTCCAGAAGGAACCGTGTCCGACTCCATAAATTATACATATTCTTGACGAGCATAAATAGCCGAGTCGTTTGAGCCCTGTCTGTCTCTCCGTCCCTATGAGCGCCTACTGCTCAGAGACTATAAGAGCTAGAGCAACGAAACTTTGTATCCAGACTTCTTTGATATGTCACTGTTACAAGTATATTTCAAAATCGACTAAATCGATTCGGCTATTGATGCTGATCAACAATATATATACTTTATAGGGTCGGAAACGATTCCTTCTGGACGATAGACATCCAATGTTTGTTACTATAAAAAATAATTAATAATTAAAAAATAAAATAATAATACCAAAAATAAGAGTAATACGAATACAATACACAACGGAAATTTGGAGAAAACTTCCGTTTGGCTACTGTACTTGCTGTGACATAATAATTAATTAATAATAATAATAATTATAATGATAACATTTGATGACACTTAAGGAGATAGACATAGGGAGGAAATGGCATTCAGCTTTTAGCAATCAGATCAGCCGACAATGATTCTGCTTGAAAAAGGCTCTCAGATCAGCTCAACTTTCAGCTCTGCTTCCAGCTACGGTGTGCGCGAGCCCTTAAGCTTGAGAGTGCGGAAGAAAGTTATTTTAAAGTAATATCTGATTCTATTTTCTGAGCAGATTGAATATTTGTTGTTAGTGAACATAAATTGCCCATACCAAAGCGACAGACTCCAATTTGGGGCTCGCTCTCAGCCGAACAAATCCCCCACCATAAATAAATAATATTTACACCATAAAAGAATTTATTAAGCAAGCTAAACTGTATAAATATCAACAAAATTTAGTACCCATAGACAAAATCAAATAAATAAACATCGTTCGAGTCGAAGGCCAAAGCAAGCAGTGCCCGGTAAAATAGATATTAGGATTAACATTGAATGTTAAGAATAATCTGTTCAAATACAACATAAAATAAATATAACTAAAAACAAAAAAATTTTTAATTAATTGGAGGACATGGTAGTGTATTCAAAAGCCTTTAATTCTTTGATGAACTGAACTAGAGACTGGGAGTGCACTCCACATTCAAGAAGGCTCACACATTGGGTCATAGTGTCTGGACATATCCCAACATTTAACAATGTAGACAATCCATCAACAATTGTACGTATTCTATTTGACTTAACCGTTTCTAAATTTTTAACTGTAATATTATTTGATAAATCAGTAAATGGTAAGACAGACATCCTTTAAGCCGTGATTTTTTCTGACAATTAAAATTCCATCTGAATTTTCCAGAAATATTGTAAGGTACTCCAAGCTGCGTCTAAATATCTAAATATTCCATTGTCTCATTACATTATTCAGCACAAAATATACTTACTACAATATACTTACTTAAAATTGTTTTTTGATCGCTGCGAACTTTGCGTGTCTAAATCCGTTTGGAATTTTAATTGTATTTAATTTTTGTGTTTGTAGGGAAAAAATCAAAATACAAAACGATAGGAGTGGTAACCATCGATTGTTTCGGTTTACCATTGATAGTATCGAGTGGGAAAATTTATTGTGACCTTGACACTGGGCACTGGGCCGGTAAGTACCCACCCGAAAACACAGATGTTGGTCAGTGAGCAGCTTAACAGAATGGACGGAAGGATATCCGCTCCAATCAGGACATCTATTTGTGAACTCTCATAGAAGGTCGGATCCGCCCATGCGAGATTCGACAGGTCTCGCAACGAATTTTGCGGATTCGGCTAGGATGGAAGGTTACCCGCCAGTTCAGGCAGAACGTAAGCCGTGGCGTTTACGTGCAAGTCCGGAATCGTCGGGGAATGGATGACAAAATGATTCGTGGATTGAGCGGATACTGTCTGATTGAGGCCCGAGACTTGTGCCTGTATAAGTCGGAACGGCAACTTGATTATATTGAAGAGACGTTTCGTAATAAACGTTGCCTCGGAACCCGGGTCGATTAGAGCGCGGGCGCGGAAGTTTGTCCCCAAGTGGCAAATATTGATAATGGCTGTGCCCAGGAGTACAGCCCTCTTGCCGGAGGCGAAATAGTTCTGAACACAAGGCTGAACTTCGGTAGGTGTCGAAAGTGGTACGGAAATGGATACGGATTGGCTGGAAACTGGAGTGCAACGGTGCAGCAGCGTATGATGCCGGTCTCTCCCTGAGTCCGAAATCGTTATTTGCCTGACGCAGACTGATTCAGTTATTGGAACGTTAGCAAAAAATATTTTTTTGCTTATAACAGCACATAACGGAACAGATAAACAGCAAAGACAGCTGTTTCCCGCCACAATTCAATGCAACAAATTAATTTTTTCACCAATTGCAATTTAATTTTCAAGACTTTCAGCTCGTTAAATACACAGGTGTTTTGCTTTAAAACAAGAACTTAAAAAAAATTAAGTCATTTTCATCACGTTGTATTATTACGAATCAACCATGTCGGCTGGTTTTGTTTGTCATCATCGATGAGAAAATAAAAAATGTCTTAACAACATTATTTTTTAAACTGGAGCACCTTAAAACAATAACGAATCGTTTTGGCTGAAAACGTAAAACGCAAAAGTGAGTGAAAACGTAGCGTGACTGATTAATATATGTGATAGCCGCCTTCAATTAGTTCGAAGAATACCACTAATGCAACGAATTTATTGTATCTCAAAACTGTTCCAAATCCGACGTTAACCTATCGACTCGAACTTTTCAGCGATGCCTTAACAAAGGAATATATTTACATATCCAGCTGAGTTATTTCTTTTTTAAGTATAAATATTATCAATGGCAGACGATTTGCAAAACTATAAATTGCAGCTGCAGCAGGTATACTATTTTGTAATATATGTACACGTTTCAGTATTAAAATATGCACTTCATCTCTTGGGTTCTTAGTTCAGCAAAAACAAACCTCAATACACATGCATGTACATATTTATGTACTATGTATATACATCTGTCACCTAAATAGCAACCCAGAATGCCAAACACTCGTCAATGATATCGCACACGAGTGAAAAACGAGGCAGCCCGCCAAAGCTTTAGCGATCGGATTCATACATGTAAATACATACATATATATGGATGTGGTTTAGTTTGGGCCAGTGAAAGTTTCGTTTACGATAGTTGAACGAAGTTGTTCTAGAGAACCTTTGTCGAGACACTCTCACTTGCGAAGGGCTCGTGCGTGGCTTTGCTGGGAAACATCATTTCAATTTTCTTTTTCCGTGATAACATCGGCAATTTGCATCCGTCCAACCAAGTTACATGCATATGTATGTATGTACATATTTACGTATGTAAGTATGTACGGTGGATAATATTAAAAAACCCAGGGGGAAAAAGGCGGACTCTGAAATTAATGTAGTTGTGCCTTCTCTAGTTTCGCAAATTTTATTATATTCGTATAATTTTTTTTTTTTTTGGTTGTCAGTAAATTAAACGATGGACTTGCAAAATTTTTTTTGTTTTCTATCATAATCAAATGTATGTACATACATATATGCAATTAGAAAAAATTATTTTTAAAATCAGAAATCTTGACCAAAAAATCTTACAACAAAAACCAATTAAATTCAGAATATTTTTTCCTAAATTTCGTAATTTGTTTAAGGACGAGCCTAAGGATTGGTTTAAAAATACTGTTGAGATACCATCTAAAGTGCATCAACTTTTTACCATTGATATATTGGCTAAAAGTGTCAGTGCTGCATGTTGGGGGGTTCCAGATACCAGTTTTGCGCAGGAACCCAATTCATTCGCACGATTGTGTTCGCACCACAATCATTGACCGTAGTTTTATCCTCGTAGTCTAAAACTGGACAGGGTGAACTTTAATCTTCTTACTTAATCTTTGTCACTTCCTTGCTATCTATGTAATTTAATATAGTTGGGCTGATGAGATTCATTTTGCAGCTCTGCAATTATTATTCTGTTTTCGGCTAGTATTGTCTCATATAAGTGTTCGGTTTCTCTTTCGTCTATCTTGCGGATTGTGTTTAGCGCGTAAGTAATTTCGATGAGTCTTTCTTGCATCTTCGTATTAATTTTAATCTGTCTGTTTTCTGTCTCTTTTAATTATCCCGAGGTCTGCTACTATTATTTCTTCGGAGCATAGAGGTGTGAGCTTATTCCAAACTCTTTCGCCAACCTGATAGCTCTCGTGTTTTTTGTTTTTGCTGGCCCGTTAGGAGTAGAGTGTATTATCTCAATAGAGTTTTTATTCGTTACTGAGCATATTGTCTTATTATACTGTGTTGTCGCCATTAGTATAAGGTCTAAAGTGTATATGAATTGTTTGTCTATCTTTAGACATTTGCATTTACGATACAGATGTCGAAGTTGTTTATTAGTATGGACTTAATTGTTTCGGAATTCAACGATTTCTCGTTATCACAACAGATTGTTTTTATCTCAAGGAAAAAGTTAGCCAACTATCTATTTTTTAGCTCGGTAAGTGGCCCTATCTAGGTTTCCTATATAGTACCTTTTTTGGAAAGTGCATCGTCAATTTCTGTGACCTCTTCCTAGGCAACCATATTTTGCGTATTTTGAGAGCTACCGCTGAATTTATTCGACCTGTAATTTTGTTGATATTTGGTCGGTTGTCTAAAGCGGGAGGAAGAGCTAATCTCCATGGGCTCGAGCGTGGAGATAGCTTGAGTGTTAGACGCCTGAATGTGCAAAATCTGTTTATTACTAAACGATCTTGAGGCAAATGCCTTATGGCTGCCACCCTGAGTTTTAGAATAATGGTCCTTATGGTTTTTCTGTGATCACCTTGATTATCATTTTCGTTGTAGTGGTTCTGCTTGGCACTACCGCTCCAATTCTGACCTCTATCGGTAGCAGGCTTTTGGGAATTTTTCTCAACTTGTCTGGTAAAACTGGACGCGAACAGACCGCGTTCATTACTAGATTCTGCCTCTTGAGCTAAGGCTAGAGCCGATGGCAAATTGTGATGTTTTTCCGCGAAACCCGCTGTTTTTAAGGACTTTTTAAGTCCAGAGAAATATGTATGTAGGGCATCTTGCCCATACTTTTTGTTCAAAACGCAGCTGCGGCTATGTCTAGCATCCGCCGAACCCTTCATCTTGATTCGATTAATTCCCACAGCTAAGGAATGCCTGCTGCTCCCTTGATATGGTTCAAACACTGCGTAAACAAAATGAGCGGTATGGAGCCATTGACTACCATTGAATGCGCGGATGTATTTAACCGCTCTTGATGTCCGTATTAATGGAAGCTGGTTGGTACTCTTTAACACTTGGTCAATTAATTATTCACTTCAAAGCAGATTTAGCCTTTCGTCGAATTTTAATTTCTGTTGTGTTAGGGCCGCTTCTATTGAAGCGTCGTTCCTAAGGGCGTTTAGTTGACCCTCGAATTCTCGATTTAACTAGCGCTGCAACAGCTGCCTCCATGCTCTGGATCTGATTCCTATTTTCTCAGGCTAGGGATTGCGCAACTGCAAGTATCAATTGTTTTAGTATAACATACATATGTCTCTAAGCACCAACACTTTATCCTTTTAGTTTTTAATTAACATCTCACTTACATATTTTTTCTCCGTATCACATAGGTGATACGGTCGCTGTCGGGGATTTCCTGCTTCCACCGCTGTTGTCTCCGCTGTTTTTTTTTTTTTTTTTTTTTTTTGCTTTCAGCTACAATTTTTTGTGGCAGTTTAACATAAATTAAATTTTATGTAAGTTTATACTGATAATTAAAATATTTATTTTATTTTTGCTTGGGTTTCGTAGGTAGAAGCGGCGCTGCAAACAGATCCGAATAATGAAGAACTTTTGAAACTGAAAAGCGATCTAGAGGAGGTCATTACATTAACACGTGATTTGATCAAAACACATTTAGAAGAGCAGCAAAAGTCCTCCTATGTAGAGCCTTCATCATCTAAAACAGCGACCTCAAACTATTTCGATGAAATTGAAGCTGCTCTTTTGGAGGCTGAAAAATTAGTCTCCGCTGCTAAAGTATGGAAGATTGGTGACAAATGCCAAGCTAAATGGAAGGAAGATCGACAATACTACGATGCAACTATAGAAGGTATAACTAAAGAAGGCGAAGCAAGTGTGATATTTGATGCCTATCAGAATCGTTGCACAACTACTGTGAACGAATTGCGTGAACGTACTACCCGTAACGAAGTATTCCCATCAAACAAGTATGAAAGGCGGTTATTATAATTACAATTATTATTTAATAAGAATTTATTTTTCAGACGTCACAGGCCAAATCAAAAAGAATATTTAAAAAAACGAAAACAAAAGAAACAACAGCGCTTTAAAGACTTGGAAGAAGAGCGTGAGTCTGATAAAAATAAATGGATTCACTTTACCACTAAAAATCAAAAAAAGCCAGGAATGAAAGTTAAGAGCATATTTGCATCACCTGATAATGTAAGTGGTAGAGTTGGAATAGGTACATGTGGAACGGCAGGAAAAGGAATGACTGATTTTACTGTTGGAGAAAAATACCGTAAGGGTCTTTGAGTAGTACAAAATTTGAGATAAATTAGAGTAAATACCGTATATTGATTATAATACATTTTCATTTCGGTGTCATACGAAACTACTCAATATATGTTTTAAGACCATCTTTCTTGCGTTTATAATTTGACAAATATTGTTTTGCTTTCCAATATTATTAGTATAAGCTGTTTATATTAAAATTAAATTAAGTTATAAATTTAAACCATAGTAGCACATGCAAGCGAAATCATTTTAAATTAAAATTGGATGCATTTTATTCATGAATTTAATTTTAAATAAAAAGATTACAACTTTAACACCCGGCGACAAAAAAGCCGGCATTTTTAGGAAATAGCACATATAATAATTTCGGCCGAACTATCACTATCGCTCTCTTTCTCTTCTTCTTCATCTTCCTTCTGTTATACATAGATCGCTTCGTTATTCTTATTTTGGTTTTTCTTTTTAATTTTTTCTATATAATCACAATGTGATCAAAAAGTTCGGCTGAGCTAAGCGCAACAAATAAAAAACAATCTTTAGACAAAAGCTAGACGACAATGAAAAAGGTCTTAAAATTGTATTATAATACATACATACATATTTGGACGTTGATATGCAATGACGGTACCATCAATTGACCCATGCGACACCAGTAGTAGACTAATCCCAGGCAGAAACGAAGCCCTCCTCGCGCTTAAACGACCGAATGGCGATACCGCACGTCGCGCGACTCGTTAACCGAGCCGATCGTGAACATGCAGGAAACAGAGAGGTTAGACTAATATTCGAGGATAATTATAACTAAACTTACTAAAAGAACCAGGCGTGCATTCGAAATACAAAAACAATTACAAATTAGTGGTGGATTTAATTTGGTAGAGTGATTTATAATACGAGCATAAGACCGAGCGTAAAAAAAATCACACGAAGCATTTTTCTACGATTAACACAGGATGTTAGGTTTATTAAAAGCAATCTATTGAGGTATGATGGCAATCTTACAGTTACATCTCAGTTGAGGCCTCGGAAAAAAAAGTTTTTCTGGACTGATTCTCTACTGTACTACTGACAATGCACAAGAGCCGTATTCAAAAATCGGCCGAACTACCGAGATATATAGTCTCCTGAAATGTCATACTATTACTGTTATACTGTACACCGAGCTTAACGTCAGCCGCATACACTCGAGAGTACGTTAATACTAGATTGCTGCCCATTTGCACTCCAGAACTAACCTTTATTGGTGAGGAGAGGGAGTTTTTGAAGAGGTATCATTGAGACCTGAAGCAAAGGTAGCTAGAAATCCATTCCTTATAAAATTATTACTTCCAGATCTGGGGAAGCAAGAAGAATCAATGGACAGAGTAGGTAGTAGTAGGACAGGTAGTAAATAGGTTAAGCAAGGGTCCACACAGAGCCTCGGCGCAGAACCTGAGTACCCCGGAACCCCGTCTGGACCCGGTGAAAACACCGGCTTAACTAGTCGAAGATCATGAAGTAAAGAAAATGAATTTAACAAGGGACTGAAAATGCCGTTCGACCTCGGTAAACCGTATGGGTACGGATGACCAAAGTAGCTTTCCTCAGAATAGGTGGTTTGGAAAAATTGGGCAACAAGATCGGCAATTGCCTGATCACCATTTGCCGACGTATTACAAAATGATAGCGAGGATGGGTGTGCGGACGTTCTACGCTTACTGTTTACGAGCAGTAAAACTGTTTAGGGTACAGAGAAAAACATATCCTGCATCGAGATAGTTCTTAGAGCATTGAGCGTTAGGAACGGAGAAATTTGACCGAGCTATTAATTAGAGAGAGAGAGCAGCAGTAGAACCAACATTGAAATTTGTATATTAAGTCTTTAGTTTAAGTTAGACTGGATAACTCTTTGGTGATTTGGTTTTCTAGATGTAATCGCCCAAGAAAAACAGACGCAAAATCAACCAATGTGTCAACTACACTATACAAATGTTTGTGCCTTTCTTAACATCAGTGCACAAGTACAGAGCGGACAGCCAAGATCGCTTCCTTACAGTATATCCAGACCTAGGATAAAGTTAATAAATTGCTCCGTTGTTAAGGTTACAATTTGGCGTTTATTGTTCGATATTGTTTGTGTGTTGTTGTTAGAGGCCGTGGCCGTGGACTTCGATTTTAGGCGTTAGGCGTTTTGGGCGACGAAGAGGACTGACGAAGTTGGTCGTTGGTCGAAGACGACCGACTAGCGAGAAGGAAGGGTCGAAGCGGTGTCTTATAATAAGTAAGAACTTTACATAGGTGTGTGCGTGTATGAACTGAGAGCGTACATAGGATGAGCGCGATAACAGAAAACTTAAGAGAGACGTGACTTAAGAGCCTTTGACGGCTGCTGTTCCGAACATACTCCCCCCGTTGAAAGACCAGGGCTTTTAACAGTATTCTCAACTGGAAGGACGCACAGCTTGTTGACGGCTCGACGATTGGTTCCAGAGGGGGTCTGCACGATGGCAACTCTCACAGCTCCAGCGATAACCTCGATCAACCGCGCCAAGGGCCACTTCGAGGGTTGAGGTGTGCGCCATTTGGCACGTTTGGCATTCCAATACTTCCAAAAGAAGCTCAAAAAAGCCGCAGTGGTTAGGTCCTTTACCAATTTCAACAAGACGGCCTTTGTTGCAAAACAGATTAACACGCAGATGTACTCGATCCTTCGGTAGGTCAGCCATGATGTGTTTCACAAGACGAGGTTTGGACCGGCAGCAGATGACGCATTTTCGCAAGGCGCCAGCCACAGTTTTTATGCCGCCGATGGGCCAAAACTGTCGTCGAATCGCTCCAAGTAGCGACTGCGGACCAGCATGGTGATGATTTCGATGAAAGTGCGTAATGATGGCGAACGTCAATGGATGATTCTTGGATAAAATGATTGGGTGGCGTCCATCAAAGCCGAGAGCTGAGTGCCGAAGGCGGCCACCAACACGCATTAGACCAAAGTCATCTATGAACCGCGAGAGCGAGATGATTGTGCTGGAAGCCTCTACGCAGTTCCCTTTCCGCAGAGCAAGGTACTCAGGATACAGGTGGGCCCGTTGAACGATGCGACATAGCAAGTGCGATCCTTTGCGAAGGTCCTCAGATGAGAGATCCGGTGACTTCGTCCTACTTATGAACCTCTGAACGTAACCAAAGATGCGCATCATAACTCCAAATGAGTTGATGTGCTTAAACGAAAGCGAGATGTCGACACGCTCAGAGGAAAACAATATCCTATGTCGAATTTCTGGAGGATTAACTTCTAGCGAGCGCCGTTCAGGCCAGCAACCTTTGTCTACTTGCAAGAAGGCAGGTCCATTTATTCACATAGTAGAATGAAAGAGTTCCTGAGGCAAGGCTCCCTGTGACAGCATGTCAGCTGGGTTCATTTCAGTTGTCACATAGCGCCAATCCCTGCCCGTGGTAAGTTTTTGTATGGCCGAGATCTTGTTAGAGACAAAAACGTTGAATTTAAATGGTTCCTCCCGTAGCCAAGACAGGATCACAGTTGAATACGACCAAAAAATGATTGGGCAGTCGAGGGTATCTATTTTCCTGATTTCGCGAAGCAAATTGGCCAATAAGAACGCTGCGCATAGTTCAAGCTTAGGCACCGTGAGTGTTTTCAGTGGGGCTCTATCCTCTAGCCTTCGGACAAAGCAGAGTAAAGGAACGAGCATAGATACAAGCCCCATAGGCCTGCAGGCTGGCATCACAGAAGCTGGGAAATTCAAACCTGGTCTTAGGTTGAAGTACGTAGCGAGGAAATGTAGCGTGACCCACAGTAGCGAAATCCTTGCAAAACTCAGTCCAGGCCGATTCCAAAGGCTGAGGAAGACTTTCATCCCAATGCATCCTGTCCCTGTCCCTGACAAGAAGATCCGTGGTTTGACGCATAATATCTAGCCCTTCCTCGACCGAATTGCCTCCAGATATCATGTCGTCTACGTAGATGTTCTGTAGAATGGTTTCCGATGCATAGCTCGAATGGCTAAAAACGATGTAGACTTAGTCCCATAGGTGACTGTGTTTAATTTGAAGGTCTGTATGTCGTCGTCAAGAGAGTCCCTCCACAATATGCATTGGAGCATGGTTTCAGGCATTGAGACCCATACATTTTACCGATTTCACCTGTAAGAGCAATGGAAAATGTAAGAAAACGGAGGAGTGTGTGAAATAGCTTGGCTTGAATGGTGCGACCAGACATAAGCGAGACCAGACATAGGAGTCTCGTAAGGACTTTAAACTTCGCTTCATATGCAAGCGAACAGATTATTCCCCTGAGGGTAAGCGAGTGTGTTCCTCCTTTGTTGCCCTAGCGATTGGCTCAAAGATGTGCTCCACTTCCCAAAATTGACGAACCAAGTCATCGAGCCGAGTGCTGTGATTGGTGTCATCCGAAGATTGGGTTGCGATAAACGACGAGGAGTTGGTGGCCGAGTGCCCGCCACCAGATAGAATCCATCCGAGATGTGTCTTCTCCGCTGAACTTGGGCAGCTGCAGCTATGGCAAGCGCGATCGATTGGCCATGTACATAATGGATTGGGATTGACTTGGGTTCATTTAAAAAGTGAAATAATGCGTGGGCGGCGAACGATTGCCCAACCCACGGTGTAGAATGGTCTTCAATGATAGGATGGACGAGTCAAATTTTCTTGGTATTTCACTAGACATAGATTCAAAATCCACTTCCTGCAAACTGATGTGTGCCACAATAAATCCAATTTCAGCTCCAACAATCCTCGCAAATCATATTCATCCATTTGGCGTATGGACTCTAGCCTGTCGAAAATGGCTCTAGCCTTCAGCCTCATAAAGGAAACCCGCGATGCAGGGAATTGGGTAGTGGTTGCGTTCGCACTAACCCTTTCATTAGATGAAGCATCGCCAACTGTCAAAGTATCAATCTCATTGCCCATAGCCAACGATCCACTCCTTCTATTATTTTTCCTTTTGCCCATGGTTTGAACTATATATTGATGACGCGGAGGGTAGGAGTCGATCACAGTTGAATAAAAATGATGCAACGCGAGCGTTCAGACGTTACAAAACGTTTTTCGTTCACTTTTGCGGCACTTTTTATTAGTGTATGTCCAAAATGTATGCGCCGGCAAAGCATCGAAGCGACGACCGAAAAAGTACCAACAGTTATGCACAAGTGAACGACCGAGATGTTTTACACTGTTTCGAGTTCGAATTCGAGAGAGAGATATGTATGTGCAGCCGGTCTCGACAGTGCTCTGCGCAGGCAGAAGCAGACGGCGAAAGAGAAGCGAAAACGAATAGCGGATCGCTAGAACTGCCACAACAATCTTTGGTTCGCTACCTTTCCGCAAATGTCACGTTAAACCTTCGAATTTGATTTAAAAAAATGTACGAAACAACATTAACACACGACAAGTCCACGGCGATCACGTCGGGGTCACCAAAATGTTGGAAGCTGCCGAGCTTTTTCGGCAACTCTGACTCCACATTTACGAATTAAACGAGGGGGAACGTTGTGAGTTGCTGCGGACACCGCAACTCTACAGTTATACCCGATACTAAGTCAGTATAGCTCTCATCCGGCAGACGCCGCTAATATTAAAGGACACGACAAAGAGTGCGTGCGAGAGAGACAGAAAATCAGTCTGAGCGTGACGTCGAGCGCTGCGTAGCCACTGCAAATTGATTTCTTGCTTCCTACAAATCGGGTATAAAAAACGAAACAGAAACAGATATGTACATATTCTCCTTATGCTCTTTATTGTTTTCGTATGGTTTCTAGCTGTTTGTGTTTTTATTTATTCACCAAAAAGGTAGATCACTTACCTCACCATTCTCCCTTTATGAAAACTTATTTTTTAATATAAATAAATATTCAGGATAAAATCATTTATTAATTGAGTTTCGCATCTTAGAACAATAATTTATTTCATATACAATTTTAAATACATTAAAAGTCATAAAATATAAATAATGGCACATTTATATAAAAGATCTTAATAACATTTTAAAGTGAGCAAAAAATGTTACTAAAATCTCTATTAATAATTGCTTTATTTTATTGATAATTGTATAGATCTTCACGTTTTCGCAAAATTTTAAGGTATGAACATTATGTACGAATAAGGTATTTGCCAGATTTTCAGGGTGGTTGATCTGGTTTTTGCTTTTTCAAATGTATCCAACGCTATAGATAATCGACTTGTTCTATTTTGAATTATTAAAATATTATTTTAAATTAAGTTAAAATTGGAAAATAAAACATATTTTCATAACGAAAAAATTACAGATTTTGTTTAAAGTTGGTTAAGCATTTTCGGATGTTTCGGATATAATATTTACAGATATTCTTTCTTATGTATTAAAAACATAGCACAAAATATGAATTTAATTATTATATAATTAACTCTACCTTTTTTCAAATATATTCGTATTAGGCCAATATTAAGTCTCGTGACAATTAGATTACCACTATTGGAGCACTGAGTAGGTAACCGAAAATTAAGATAAAAATGAACATGTATTGAAGAGGCTATGAATGTATGTACACGTCGTCTTAGAATCTCTTTATTTTAGAAGCTGATGGGCTCTTTGGTTAGCTACAGCTATTCTGGCTTCATTAGATTCCCCCTGGAAGTAAAATGTAAAGATACATGAAATTAAAAAATTTTATAAAGTAAAGGCCAATAGATTCTGTAACAGTTAAGAGTAAAACAGTATGATAGTTATCTTCGACACGCTAAAAATTATATATTCTTGATGTTAGACGATTTTAAACCGGAGTAATTTTATCAAAAGAACTGCAACTATTAGAAGGGAAGAGCCTAGGAACGAGTGCCTCATATCCCTCCTTCCCTCCTATCGAGAGAGCGAGAGAAAATGGAATTGTTTCCTTCATTATGGCTAAAATAATGATACGATCCGGTTCAGATTCTGCAGTCTAGAAGATATTGACATTCTCTAAAATTGTGGATGCCACAGACAGTGACAGTGATATATTACAGAAGTCTGGATACAAATTTCGTTGCTCACAGCAGAGGTTTTTATACCCGATACTCAAAATGAGTATTGGGGTGTATTAGGTTTGTGTTGAAAATGGATGTGTGCAACGTCCAGAAGGAATCGTTTGCGACCCCATAAAGTATATATATTCTTGATCAGCTTCAATAGCCTGTCTATCCGTCTGTCCGTCCCTATCAGCGCGTAGTGCTCAAAGACTACAAAAGCTAGAGCAGCGTGATATGTATATATTTCAAAATTTTGCCCCGCCCAACCCGGCTAATGCCAACCCGCTAAGGACACTGTAATCTGGTAAATATGATCATTCTCTATGATTTTTCATTTTCTCGTATCTTCCAAATTGTGGAAGCCAAAGATTTTCGTTCTTTGTGGAGGCGAAAGGGGGTGGGGCGAAATTTTTAAAGATACTGGTATTAGTGAGATCTAATAGTGTGGATACCAAATTTGGTTGCTCTAGCTTTAATAGTTTTTGAGATCTGTGGACTCCACAGACTTTCGTCCTCTTTTTTTTCAGGCTCGATATCACAGGAGTTTGGACACCAACTTTGTTGCTCTAGCTCTTATTGTCCCTGAGATCTAGGCGCTCATTTTTTGCGATAGGCAAAAACGGCCATGAAGCGTGAATGTTAGAGAGAGACAGAGCGAGAAAGAATGAAATTCTTCTCATAATTCCATGAATGCCACAGATTTTCGTACTTTGTGGGGTCGAAAGGAGGCAGGCTGGAGTTTTGAAATATACTTGTAACAGTGGCATATCACAGAAGTCTGGATACAAAATTTCGTTGCTCTAGCTTTTGTAGTCTTTGAGCACTAGGCGCTCATAAGGACGGACGGACGGACAGAGAGACATAGCTCAATCGACTCGGCTATTGATGCTGATCGAGAATATATGTATATACTTTATGGGGTCGGAAACGCTTCCTTCTGGACGTTACGCACATCCATTTTCACCACAAATCTAATATACTCACTTTGAGTATCGGATATAAATATAACTAGCGGAATCCTCACAGCGCAAAAACGCTGATAAAACGGTGGTGCTTGTGATTGTCATTTTCCAATTTGAGCATGTGTGATTTGAAGAATATCAATAATTTATTGTGCTTATACAATAGGTTGTCCAATTCGCCTAATATTCGCATGGTTATTGGCGAATTGATTTTATTGTAGCCGGAACGGGCATCCAAGCGATTGGCGATTGCGCGTTCGTAGCCTACACGATTAATGCCCGCAGCGCCCATGGCATTGGCAGCACTGAGCCCAGTTTGTGGTTCACTTGTCCTTTGATTTTATTGTACCCGATACCCAAATTAGGCAATGCCGAAAGGTTAGCAAGGTCGAAAATTGTGACATCCACAATTTTAAAGATAAAAAGAAACCAAAAACACGAATCATAGAAAATTACTATAGCTACCAGAATTTTGAATTTAATTTAGATCGAATTATTATTATATCCACAAGGAAAAAATTGAATTTCAGTGGCTTCAGTGGAATGCCCTTCCACGCGCAACGAGAGAGATCTCGTTCACACAGTCTTTAAATAGCCACTTTACTAAAAACGTGATAACATTTTTATAGTCGACCGAATCAATATAGTTTTTTCACCAGTTTATGGCTGTCTGTAGCATAATGTATATATAAATATGTTAGTATAATATCAATTTGGTCCCAAGTTATGAGTTAAAAACAAAACGGTGGCCATACCCGAACCATTTCCCCTACCTATCAAAAAACTAAAAGAAAGCCCTACAAATATTTTTTTTTTGTTTTTCTTGACTTTTCAATGTACAAATTTTGAAAAAAAGACGGCAGAAAGTGATCAGTTTTGAATTTGAAGGCTTAATATTTTTCGGACGGTAAGATTAAGTTATAAAGTGTTTGGGTCGGATTTTTAGCTAAATTTGTAAGCTTTTCAGAATTGCAAAGATTAACAAACCAGATGTAAGATACTTAAAATATGTGCAAAAAGAAGGACAACCTCTGAAGAAAACATAAAAATAATAGTTTTAAAGCATTAAAAAAAAACACACCATGAAAAAAAAACATACTTCATTAAAAAAATATAAAGCCTCAATTCTATCAGAAAAAGTAAGTTTGGTTTGAATCATAAAGAAAAAGTTAAATTTTGTTGCTTTGTGCTATAAGTCGCGGTGCTGAGCCACTATTTGTAATAAAATTATGTTTTATAACTCGCACAGCTAATGGTTTAGCAAAATGGTTTCTGAAAATGGTAAAAATTGATAATTATCAGATTATAATCTTTGCCACCATGCTGTGCCTAACACAACTGGAGTTAGTCAGCTAGTAAAGTCTAATATCATACGGCCGTAAATATATATGTATGTACTAATAAAAAATAATTATTATGTGTATTGAAATGATTTTTACCTTGCGATTAATTCTGTCAACTTGGTTATTTTGATTTTCTAGCTCAGAACCCATATCAAGAGCCATGTTACGGAGGTTTCCAATCATTGTATTAACCTGTCCCATATTTTCTTCCATTTCATCCTCCCTCGCATCATTTGTAATTCTAAAAAGAAGGTAAATAGTTAATACGAGAATTATAAATTATTCCTTATTAGATTGAAATTCTGTTCATTATAAAGCTATTTAGTGAAAAAAACAGTGTTTATGTACATATGTATGTCGAATTCTGCACATTGGATCTTTTTAGCATATGTATATGTAGCTGACATGTACAGATACAAATTTCTCAGCATTAAATTTGATAGATGAATGATAGATCTTTAAGCTTTTATTTTTTGAGAAACAAACATCAGTGGGAGAGTCAACGGTAAATATTCTCAAAGGAATATTCTACCGACGAAATAAATTTGAACTTTAGAAGTATGAGCGCGAGAGTAGAAAACATGTTTTCAGACGAAGACTGAAAACAGATTCACCGTTTCGTTTGCGTTCTAGCTGCGTCAGTTCCGAAGCAAGGCTGCATATCGTTTTGCAATTTGTTTGGTTTTCCAGCATCCTTGAAACCAAACCTTTCACCGTAATGGGCACCCCTACGATGCCTTCTGTTCGCCTGAGGGCTTTTGCGAATCTGACGAATGTTGTCAGGACTTGCTCAGCGTTTTCCGGTGTCTCGCAGCAGGTGCACAGCTCTTCTTCCATGTGGACAAAGCGATGTACTCCTTAAACCAACCGTTGCCACTGAGAACTTGCGTCAGTGCGAACGTAAGTTCTTCATGCCGCCGGTTCATCCATGCTGCAATGTTGGGAATTATTCGGTGGAATAACTTCCACTTGGTTCGCTAGAAGTTCGACGGGTATGCCGCTTATTACCATTATGGCCTCTGTGTAGACTGTATGTACGCTGAACTGTCCCACAGGGAACCGACTCTGAAGTCCGACTCAATGCCCTCAGTGTAACTTTTGGTCCTCGTAGCCTGACCTGCGTATAGGATGAATGACTTAGCCACGTTGAATAGAAGTCTCCTGCTCGTCGACTTTGGGCCTCTGGGCCGTTTGCGAAACCGCCATAACTACTACGTGAGCCTTTCTGTGTGTCTGATCCAGGTTCTCTCTAAATGAGAGCTAGGTGTCCAGCATAACTCTCAGGTACCTTGTCGTTCTTTTTCATGTAATTGAAGCTCCTCTTACGGTTATTCTCGCCGTCTCCACCTGTTTTCTGCTACTTGTGAGAACCGCTTCCGTCTTGTGCTAGACTAGAGCAGTCACTTATAATTTTGATGGCCTCATTCATACTGCCTCCGTCACTGCGACATCATCATCGAATTCCATGATCTCGACTCCTTGCTGGAAGTTGAGGCGAAGGACTCCATCATACATGGTATTCCACAATAGAGGGCCCAGTACGGATACTTGTGGGACCCCTCCCGTGATGAAGTATGAACTAGGACCCTCATCAGACCTCTGTTGTCCAGGTAGTCACTAACCATTGTCTGCAGGTATCCTGGGATTTCGAGTCTGCTCTGGGAGGACAGAGTCCTGTTTCAGGATGCCGAGTTAAAAGCATTTCCACGTCCAGGGTTGACGCCAGGCAGTATTTTTTGGCCACTCCGAGCCATCGTGCACCTTGTCCAAATTCCACACTGGCTGTCGGAGAGACCGAAGCGGCCTCAATTGGTTCCGACAGCCTTGCACTGATGATGCCTTCCAGTATCTTAGCTGCACCGTTCAGGAGGCAGATAGGCCTATATGCCGATGGATCATCCGTGTCTTTCCCAGGTTTTGGGATCAGCACCAGCTTTTATTTTTCCCATTTTCCAGAAACACCTGCCATCTGTGACGCATTTGGTATAGGCCTGCGCAATGGTCGTCAAGTGCAGACCTATGGCCAGGTGATGGGCCCGATCTGGGATGCCGTTTGGTCCTGGTGACTTGCACCATTATACCGGCTTATGCCCTTTGAATGATTTGCTGCACTCCATGTTAGCTTTACACGCACCTTTGAGTTGTCCCATGACGTGTGCCACCTGATCATCTTCATTTGACTTAATTTTATCTACCTTGTAATCTCAGTTTTACTATACGACTATATTTATTCCTGTAATTGCTACCTGTGTATCAACACTACCTCTACAGATTATGCAAAAAATTCTGTTTATTTATTTGCTCTGCACCTCAGAGGGAGGAACAGAAAAAACGTTGAAGTTAAAAATACATTTCTGTACTTTACCTGCCAATATATCCTGCTTGTGCCATCATTCCATTTCTGTCATCCATAACTCTTTGAGGTTGATTGTTTACAACTTTTCCATCATCATTTCCTTTCCAAGTTCCATCGTCCTCTTTAAAAGACTGGCTCCTGAAACGATATGTGAAGAATAATATACAGTGCCGCTCAACTGAATAGGTTCAACAATTTTCAAAAATCAAACCGCTATATCTTTTTAACCAATTTACCGATTTATATGAAATAATTTTTTTTGCATAGATTGATTCATTATTAATATAGCAAGAAAGTTTGTGGATTCCAGAACATTACAAAAATGCCTATTTTTTTTAGCTCAACTGAATAGGTTAAAGTGCATTATTGCATTTTGACGTCTATATCTTAGTAACCAGATTTGGTATCCGCACTCCTGTTAGATCTCGCTATAAAACGTATATCTCAAAATTTCACGCTACCCCTTTCCGCCACCACAACGGACGAAAATCTGTTGCATCCACAATATTAAGGATACGAGAAAACTTAAAACGCAGAATCATAGATAATGCTAAATCAGATTGCTAAATCAGATCGGATAATTTGTATAGCCAAAAGCAAGAAATCAATTTGCAGTGGCTACGCAGCGCCCGACGTCACGCTCAGACTGATTTTCTGTCTCTCTCGCACGCACTCTTTGTCGTGTCGTTTAATATTAGCGGCGTCTGCCGGAATAACTGCGGTAGCGGATTGCGTTTTTAAGAAGTTTAACTTCTAAGTTCACAGATATAGACTTAAGTTGAGGGTTACAAAGAATTCCGGACAAAGGGTTTGCGCGATCTTAGTTTTTAGCTCGACTGTTCGGTTTCGCTTCTGGATCACATACTTTCCCTATTTACATATATTTATTACTAATACTGAGGATCGATGAGATACTTTATGCGAGGCTTGCGCGAAGAAAAAGAGAATGTTGACATCGAGAAACTGATCCGAAACCGGAAACAGAAGGCAAGCGAGACTTTCGATGCTTTTTTCGACAGCATCTCTAACTTGACTGATCAGTTTGAAGTACCCTGGGCCATCCGGAAGTTGATTCAGGTGCTGAAGAACAATCTGCATCCGGAAATTCACCATGAGCTTTTGAATGTAGAAATCAAAACAGTACAGGAGCTCAAGAAAGTTAGTCGAAGACGCGAGATCATCTTGGAAGACTTTACAAATTCGCACGGCTATGCGAAAACAATGCCTTTTCGGCGAGACGTGTCGGAGCTGAATCAAAGAATACAGTCTCAGGAATACTCAGATGGTAAAAGAGAAATAAGAGTAGAATTGCTTTGATTTGTTGGAACTGTCGACAGACGGGCAACAGATATCAAGATTGTGTATCGGAACGGGAAATTTTCTGCTATGGCTGCGGTGCTTTTACAAACCGAATTGCGAAAAATGCTCAAAAAACTCCAAGCTCAGCACGCCGAAGTTTCAATTCAAAGAGAGGACTTCGTGTGTGCTACGCCATCAGTGGGCAAATACCGATTAGATGAAGTTCCAGTAACATTATTGGCTAGGTCTTACCTAGCCCTAAAAACAAGCAACGGCAGCTCGCTGTTGAATTGCAAAGACGAAACTTTATTGAACGATTCATTGCTTCATATTGGTGGATCGTGAAAAAGTGCCGATTAGGAGTGAAGCAATTGAGCACTCTCTCCGAAATGAAAAGGAATACTCGTCCGTTCATACCAATCCGTTTACTAGATCGAATCGTCTATGGCCTGTTAGATTCAGGAGCAGCTTTTTGTTGTTTTGGAGGCAGTATAGTTAGTGAATTATACATTTAATTCCTTCACTCAAACACGATCTGTACCTGGGAATTGACTTTTGTTATCTCTCATTTGCTTAAGAAGGTCTAGGGAAAACCGATTTGATCACACATGCGATTGATGTAGGGAACGCCAGACCAGTGAAACAAAGATATGTCCCCCCCCAAACAAAGATATACCCCAAGGATGGGTATTGGCAAGTACCTTTGTATATAAAGTCCTGTGATAAGCCTTTACAGTCCCTGGTCGTCCCCGTTACCAATGCCACCAGTACCATGTCACGATTAATGGAAATAGTTCCGCCCATCTCCAGAACGAAGTTTTCATTTACATCAAGATGTACTGTAGGAGATAGCTAAGAAGCTGAGGCGTCCGAGTCGATCCCGATAAGATAAAAGCCATTGCCGACTTCCCAGTACCGAAAAATCTGAGAGGACTGAGAAGTGTTATAGGATTGTGTGGGTGGTACTTCTTTGACCGACGTCAGGACAACCAAGAGGAAGTTGGCGTTTCCAGAGAAAGCAATCGAAGCCTTCAATAAATTAAAACGGTGTCTTTGTGAAGCCCCAGTGTTAAAAAGTCCAGATTTTACGAAACCGTTTTTTATACATTGTGACGCGAGAAGTAGGGGGAGTCCTAGTACAGGTGGCTAATGAAGTAGACGAATGTTCGATCTCTTATATTTCGAAAAAACTAAACAAGGCTCAACGCAATTATACGGTAACCGGGCAAGAATTTTTGGCGGCCATAGTATCGCTAAAGAATTTCAGGGCATATGAGGAAAGGCTCGAATCCATAGTGAGAACAGATCACGCCTCATTGAAGTGGCATATGTCTAACTCCGCCAAGAAAATGATCTGAGTTAGATAAAGTAGACGTAGCTGAGAGTATTGCATAAGAACTGATAGCGAAAATTAATAAGTATACCTCAAATTTTCCCATGTGGTTACCTGGGTATAACGTTCGATCTTCTCGCCGGAAGATCGATCTTTCGTCGATGCATAAGTGAGTAATTAAGTAAATGTTTGTAGTGAGTTGAAATAGAGGCGATCTCGTCCGGTTCAAATACAACAATACGATCTCTCGAGCCCCGTAACATTCCAAACCTATCATAAAGTAAAATCCTACCGACTTTCCTTTACTCTCGTGAACTTTCCTTGATCACCCTTTGGTTGAAAGAAAACACGAAGATTTTTGACTAAAACAGCGAATGAATGAAGTATAGTTACTTCCCACGTTTAAATATAAATATTATGCTAAAACCAAAACAAAAGAGAACAAAAATTAAGTCATAAGAGGGATACCCTGTCCGAAATTTAAGCCTACGTTAAGAAACCTCATCGTATCTTATGCCCGCTCCTTTGAATATCCAACGAATTTATATTTTTATAGGTTTATAAGACTAATGAGTATGCAACAACATGTCAGGTAGATTTTTTGTCGAGCGCGCTGCATCGATTCCCAGTGCGCGTACGGATACGTCTTCTTACTTTGTACATTAAAAAATCGAACAAAAAACCAAACATTTTATTATGAATTATTGTAAAATCAGATCAGATCTATCTAAAGGAATTCAAAAATGTACCTTATAATGTAGCACTGTAAACTTTATCAAAACTGGACTGCGATATTAATTTTTTACGGGAAAAATGCGTTATCCAAATTGGACAATGGGGATACAGAGGCTTCTAAGCTTTGTAGAGAGTAAGCCTTCTAATAATATAAATGTTCTAAGGGGCAAGCTCCCTGCGCACTTCCTTCGCTTGTGTGCCAACCAGTCTCATTTTATTTTTTTAACAACAGATGGACCGCGACATTATTTGGCGGTAATTTTGGCCCACATTTGGTTTGAATAATATATCGATTTAAGATGACCCAAAATAAAATATCGGACATTTATATAATAGACAGATAATAAATAATAATAATTGCATAAAAAAGTTTTCGTAGAATTGGCTTTATTGTAAGTAAAAATAGAAAATAAATAGACTAATAAAACTCATAAAATAAATGTTTTCTATTATTTTGACTGCTATACTGAAAATGCAAAATAAATTGTATATACAAACTTATTGCACGGTAGCACACAAATACCGCAGCACTTCTCCATTCCGCTCAAATTTTTTTCTGCTTCTCTCATATCCGCATTAATTTGATCCATTCCTTCTTCAATGCGGTCCAGTTGTTCTGAAAAAGGGGAAAAATGCATGATGAATTATAGTTTTATTTACGGTTTTTAATTTATTCAGTTTATTTTAATTAATTATTTTCAGAGATAACCTTGCTATACCCTAAACTCAAAGTTTTGTTTTTTATACCCGATACTCGAAATATACTATAAGAGCTAGAAAAACTAAATTTTGTATCCAGACTCCTGTGAAACATGTGTGTTAGAGAGAGACAGAGCGAGAAAGAAATTGTTTTCTATTGTTGCGATAATAATGATACGATCTGGTTCAGATTCTGCAGTGTAGAAGATTCATTCTCTCCGATTCTAGGTTTTTTTGTATTCTCCGTATTCTTGTTCAAAGGACGATTCGATATAGCCATGTCTGTCTGTCCTTCTTGTTTAACGCATAGTTTTCAGATACTATAAGAGCTAGAGCACGCAAATTTTGGGTGTAGTCTCCTGTGATATATCAAGTTTGTTTCCAAATTTTTGTTAAGACACCGTCCGCCTCCACAAAGCACAAACTAAAATCAAAATCATAATGAATGACCATATCTAGCAGATTGCCGAATCAGGAACAGATAACGCTTTCCACGCGCTTACTCATTCTCTCTCTTTCTCACACATACTCTTCCACGTGCAATGTGCGTCTTCTGGCGGGGCGGAACATTCGGGGGTTTGGTCAAACAGCTGCACCTTAGACTTATATAAACAATACCTTAAACGACTCCCAAGTAATTTACCTTTGGAACAAAAATATAATAACAGTAAAAATGAATTTATTTCAACTTTTCCGCAGTTTTCAAAACTTCAAGAAAATATACCGCAAAAAATTATAAATTTTTAATTTGAAAACTTAGTATTGTACAGACGGTAAGCTTAAGCTAGAAAATGTGGGTTTGATTTATAGCTGCATTCATCAGCTTTTCAGAATTTCAAAGTTAAACGAGGGGGAACGTTGTGAGTTGCTGCGGACACCGCAACTCTACAGTTATACCCGATACTAAGTCAGTATGGCTCTCATCCGGCAGACGCCCGTGACGTCGGGCGCTGCGTAGCCAGTGAAAATTGATTTGTTTCCTTTGGCTATAAAAATGATCTGATCTGATCCAGATTCAGCAAATGGATATGGTCGTTATCTATGATTCTGCGTTTTTAGTTTTCTTAAATCTTCAATATTGTGGATGCAACAGATTTTCGTCCTTTGTGTGGGCGGAAGGGGGTGGGGCGAAATTTTGAGATATACGTTTTATAGTGAGATCTAACAGAAGTGCGGATACCAAATTTGGTTACTCTAGCCTTAACAGTCTCTGAGATTTATGAATATCCCCAGATTTGCATCCTTTCGGGGGCGGAAGGGGGTGTGGCGAAATTTTGAGACAAACTCGTCTCGGTCCGATATATTAGGAGTGTGGATACCAAATTTGGTTGCTCTAGCTTTTATAGTCTCTGAGATCTAGGCGCTAATGTTTTACTCTAAGCAAAGCCGGCTATGCTACTTGTAAGTCAGGGCGAGAAAAAATGAAATGGTTTTCTTGATGCTGACTATAATAATAATACGATCCAATTCAGATTCTGCAGTCTAAAAGATATGGTCATTCCCTACGATTCTGCGTTTTTGGTTTTCTCGTATCTTTAAAATTTTGGATGTCACATATTTTCGTTCTTTGTGGGGTCGGGGCGAAGTTTTGAAATATTCTTGTAGCAGTGACATATCAAAAACATCCAAAACATCGTTGCTCTTATAGTGTTTGAGCACTAGGCGCTAATAGGGACGGACAGACGGACGGACGGACAGACAGACATGGCTCAATCGACTCGGCTATTGATGCTGATCAAGAATATATATACTTTATGGGGTCGGAAACGATTCCTTCTAGACGTTAGACACATCCATTTTCACCACAAATCTAATATACCATAATAATCATTTTGAGTATCGGGTATAATTAACAAGATGTAATATATAAATTCATCTGAAATAAAGAAGCCCTGAAGAACTCTAAGAAAATTGAAAAAAAAGGATATTAAACACACATTTTTTAAATAAAACTAAACGTAAAAAAAAAATGTTTAATCAAAAAACCTATGAAAAAAGTCGGATTGGCTCACAGCGGAAAAAAGTTACATTTTGTTGCATAGTTTTTGTCATAATTTGAGTCTGTTTTACACTTAGTTGTAAAGAATAGAGCTATTAATCGGCCCGCTAAACTCTGTAGCTTAATTGTACCGTTTATTTACTCATATGTAAATGTACAACATATTTTATAATATATCAAAAAAATATAAGTTAGGCTATGCGAGCCCAACATGTGTGATAGTGAAGCAATGCTTCACACATGTGGAGTCTTTGCTTAGCATAGTAACACACTTCTCTAGCGCTCAACAGCGCGCTGTTCTGCCATGATTATTGCCGTGAAGTTGTGCCTCCTAGTTATCCAGAGACAGGACCATGTACGGCACCAGGTTTTACATCAGGCTCTTTCAGCCGATGACACTGCGCTGAGAAGCTGCCACACGAAAATATGATATTCTCGGCATCCTCCTCCACGTTGTGTTCGCACTAAGAGCCCTCTGCGGCGTCTTCGTACCCCAAGCGGTGATGGTAGTTTCGGAAGCAGCCTTGGCCACTAAAGAGCTGAGTCAGGTAAAAGTTGACCTGTCCATGCTTCTTATTAGCACGCGCGTCGATGACTGGGATGAGCTGGTGAGTCCATCGCCCTTTAGGGGTCATGTCCTAGCGCTGTTGCCACTTTCTGAGGCTCTTGCATGCCATGCGCAAGCCGCGTCCATACCTCTGCCATGAGTTTCCTGGTAGCAGGTGGACCGCTCCTCCGCCAGCTATTCCAGGGCTGCTATACCCGCGATTACGTGACTGCCTCGTCCGAGACTGTTCGGAACGCACTGGTGTTAGCGAAGAGAGCCGGTGCGTAGCTGCCAGACCCCGGCCGTTGCTCGCTGCTTGTAGGGCCTTTGTGCAAATTGGTCCCGCTCATAGCATCACCGATCTTGTCACACTCGTTAGTAGTTGACGTCGCCATTGCTTTGGTCCGCGGGTGTTCAGTATTATGTTTAAGAGTGCACCGTTCGTGACCATGCTTGGCCTTGCTCTCGAAAGCAGAGTCGTGTGTCTAGACTCAAAGGTACTTGATTGCACGCAAAGATGACATTAAGGTACCTGCCACTGTGATGTTAGCCGTCTCGGGTGCACACCAGCACTGCCTCGGTTTTGTGGGGTGCGAGTTCGAGCCCGACCAGATCCAGCCACTGTTGAATACGCGCTATTGTCTGGTTGCAGGTCATCCTCACGACGGACAAGTCCTTTGCCAGCACTAAGACAGCCACATCCTTTGCAAATCCCACCATATGCACTCCGTGGGGTAGGGTGAGTCGCAATATGCCATCATACATTGCGTTCCATAGTGTGGGCCTATACGACGACGCTGTCCTTGGCGGCTTGCCTGGCTTGGTATAGAGCACCAGCTTCTGGATCTTCCACCTCACAGGAAACACTCCTACACGAAGGCACTGGTTGATCAGCTTCACAAAAATGTCCGGGCGAGCCACCATGGCCTTTCCCATGGGTTCTGCTCCGCAAAGTATAACATCCGGAAGCACTGACGTTTGCTGTCCCTTATGGCGGCCTTGAGAGCCCTTCTACAGTCCCTAAACGTAGATTTCAATTGCGGAAAGGCAGTGCCTCCGCGCGAGTGCTGGTAGCGGCGTCGTGCTTGATTGCATTCCCGGCGTAACTCGGCAATACTCTTCCCCACTCCTCAGCCCACGCATTAAAATCGGCTCCGATGGCTACTATGTGACGTCCCCTAGCATCCGCCGCTTGGTTGTATAGAATTTCTGGGAGTTTAGGGGATTTAAGGGTTTCAAATGTAAAATTTATAATTGCGCTAATTTTATCCAAATCTTAAAAATGCAAACTTAAAAAACAAAATAAATAATTATATTACCATCCGTTATTAGAAATGACGAGCTACTGAGGATTTTCTCCAGCGTAGTTTGCGACCCAGTTAATAATGAATCCATGATTATATAGTTTAATATAGCCTATTGTAGGTCATATTTTAAAAATGTAGTGAAGTAATAAATATAGCGGCAGAAAAAAAGTAAAAGTTGTGCGGACGTAATAGCGATATTTTTACGAAGAGTCAGTTGATCGATTCAAGATGGGGTCGGCTTTAAAACGCGAGGTCGGTTGAAGACTGTGTTAGATCGAAGATCATTTGCGCGATGTGCGATAAGTGAGTGCTAAATCAAGACTGAATCTCAGGCAGGCGGCCGAATTGCTCATGCCCCAATGCAAGCGGAAGCGTGACAGATTGAGAAAGTGATAGAGACATCAAAAGATTGCGAAAGACGCGAGAGAACGGCTACATTTGTTACCGTGCGGGAGCATATGTATATGTATGCAAGTATTTTGCAATGTGGTACAGTGACCAGAGCAAACCAGGTACGCAAATAAGAGTTATGAGTCAAAATTTGACCTAAAAATCTCGCAGAGCAGCCATCTAGGCCCCTTACTTTTATTTATTTATTAAATTAACAAATTATCTGTTAATAATGGTACTTAATTACAAAAGGCGGAAAAATATAAGTTAAAAATTTTCTAAATTTAAGTGATTATAAATATTGCATGTAATTAGTTTAAGAGACAGTTCAGGGGATAGGGTATGGTAGAGGGAGTTATAATTATGGCATAAAACCCTAAAGGGTTCATGTTCGACATAATTATACCTACATATGGGTAAACGTACAATGCAGTCAGTAAAAAATATAGAAAAACATTGTACTTTTTGCTCTGCGAGGCCTTAAAAGGGGTACATGTGTGAGAATGCCATCTTAGTCTAGTCGACTGCTATTAATAAATGCACCATCCTTAGTTAATCGTAGAAAAACGCTTGGTGTGATTTTTATGCACAACTTGACGTAGGGTGAAGTACATAGATAGCTCACGATTCTTATTATATTCATTATAAACTATATACCGTTGTTCCTTCCACTT